CTTCACAATAAAATGAGGAAGAAGACAAAGATGTCCACTATCCCCATTCCTGTTCAGTTCTGGAAACAGTGGCCACAGCAATTAGAGAAGAGAAAGAAATAAAAGCGATAAAGATAGGAAAGGAAGAAGTTGAACTGTCATTATTTGCTGATGATATGATACTCTACATAGAAGACCCAAAAACTCCCTCAAAAGACTTCTAGACTTAATTGAAAGATTCAGTAGAGTAGCTGGATACAAGGTCAACACTAAAAAACCAATAGCCTTCTTGTACACAAATAACAGAATCACCAAGAGAGAAATTAGGGAAACAATTCCTTTCAAAATAGCATCCCCCCAAAAAAGAAATATCTAGTAATCAATCTAATGAAGGAAGCAAAAGACCTCTATACTGAAAGTATAACATTGAAAAGAGAGATGGAAGATGATATAAGAAAAAGGAAAGACATCCCTTGATCCTGGGTAGGAAGATTCAACATAGTCAAAGTGGCCATACTGCCAAAATGGCTATACACATTCATTGCAATCCTGATTGAAATTCCAACAGTATATTTCACAGAACTAGAGAAAACAATTCAAAAATTCGTATGGAACAAGAAGAGACTTAGACTAGCTAAAACCATTCTAGGCCACAGAGACATGGTAGAGGGTATCACAATCCCCAAATTGAAACTATACTACAAAGCCACTTTGATAAAAACAGCATGATACTGGCAAAGAAACAGACCAGAGGATCAGTGGAATAGATTGGAAGATACAGAAATATCTCGTTATACTTGCTACCTCATCTTTGACAAAGGAGCCAATCATCCTCACTGAAGGAAAGAGAGCCTCTTTAATAAATGGTGCTGGAAAACCTGGACTTCATCTTGCCAAAAATTAAAACTTTCATGATGCACTAAATTAAAATCCAAGTGCATTAAAGATCTTAATATTAGGCCTCGCAGAGCTACTAGGCTCCAGGAGTGCTGTCTGGCCAGACTAATAAAGATCTGTTTTCCAACTAAAAAAAAAAAAAGATCTTAATATTAAAACAGTAAATTTGCTGGAAGATAAGCCAGGTAGAACTCTTGAAGACACTGGCATAGGAAAAGACTTTATGAACAAATCCTCAGCAGCATGGGAACTAGCACAAAGAATCAACAACTGGGATCTCATCTTATTGAAAAGCTTCTGCACTGCAAAAGAAACCATGAACAGAGCTAAGAGACAACCTACAATGTGGGAAAAAAATTTACCAGCTTCTTCTCACACAAAGGACTACTATCTAGAATATATAAAGAACTTAAAAAAAAAAATCAGATCCCCCCCAAATATAAAGACCTAATTCAAAACTTGGAATATTAAGTGAACAGACATTTCTCAGACAAACAAGTAAAAGTAGCAAGTAAATACATGAAAAAATGTTCAGTATCACTGGTCATTTGAGAGATGCAGAAGAAAACAGCACTGAGATTCCATCTCATCCCACAAACAATGGTTGCTCTCAAGAAATCAACCAATAATAAACGTTGGCAGCATTGTGGGGCAAAAGGAACCCTTCTTCATTTTTGGTGGGAGTGCAGACTGGTGCAACCACTATGGAAATCAATATGGAGATACATTAAACAACTAGGACTGGATGTCTCATTTGACCCAGCTATTCCCCTGCTGGGTATCTTTCCAAAAGAATTAAAAGAATCATACCACAGTGATATATGTACACTCATACTTATAGTGGCACAGTTTGACAAGGCTAAAACTTTGAAATAGCCCAAGTGCCCATCAACTGGAGATGGGATAAAGAAGATGTGGTCTTTGTATAAAATGGAGTACTACTCAGCCATAAATAATGAGAAACTAGAGTCATTTATAGCTAAATGGATGAATATTGAGGCCATACTCATAGGTGAAATAAATAGGATATATGTGTAAATACTGAAGTTTCTCTGGTGTGAAAAACTAAAAGTGCAAATAAAGTTCAAATGGTATAATTAATAGTGTTAAATGGGAAGAAAATGGATAAAGGGAAATGGGAAGGAGAGGGGCAAGGAAATAAGGGAGAAGAAAAAATGTGAAAAAAGGGAAAAATGGAAACAAAGTCTTGTAAATAGAGGAGGGTGGAGGGGGTGAAGGGAGGGCAGAGGTATGGGGAAAAATGAGAATCAAGATACATCAGGTAAAGGTAAGGTACAGGATCCCAATGATGAATGTAACTGTACTGTATACCTAAAAAGTACCAATAAACTCAATGAAAATTTTTAAAAAGGTCTTTTTAGAGTCCTAATAAATTGTATTCTTTTTTAATGCATAATTCATATAAAATAGTTTATAATGCAAGAATATATAACTGTTACAAACACATCTCTTCCTCTAGTTTGCTAATAACTCATCCAAGTTCAACTGCATCAAGAATTTCTTAAAATTTTAGAAATATATTTGTTTTATTTTTTTATATTATCATAGTATTTCTTTTAATATAGTGTATTTATGGACAGGCTGTGGCATTTCACAGATGGTGGAAGCTGTGTCATAACCTTGGCAGAAAAACTGTAATGGTGGTACTACTGATTTGTCTTTGCCAGATACAGTACAACGTGCATCTGTAATATTTTGACATTTTCAGTAACTTATTCTTTTTTTTTTTGTCCATTGTGGTGTTGAGAGACAGAGTCTCACCAGATAGTCCTGACTAACATCCAACCAACTATGTAGCCCAACCTGGCCTTAAACTTGTGACAATCCTCCTGCCTCAGCCTCCTAAGTGCTGGGATTAAGTTATTTTAATCAGCTAGTCCTTTTAAAATCATCTTGACTTATTACAAAATATTATATATGACTAAAATATTTTTATATTCTTAGACCGTCAAATTAAGTTCTGCTAATAATGAATGGAATTATTTTCTTTCAATATCCTGCAAATCTTTTCTCCGTTCCCGAAATGCTCACAGATATATCTCACCAGGGTTAGAGACAGTGGCAAAACATCCTGTTTCATTAGAGTCTGTATGCTCAATCACAGTAACTGCATGTAACATAAACCTTAACATTTCAGAATATAATTAAGTCTACTCTCTTCATATGATTAGTAAGAAGGAATAAAGAGCCACAAAGGCAATTTAGAAGCTGCAATACAAGAGTTAGCTCATGGAACTGTGAAAAATGAGTCAGTGTTCATGGAAGAGCCATCATTAATCTAACTCTGAATGGTCCTCTATTTACTGAAATTTGATTCTCTAAAAGCCACTAGAAGTATGCAGATGCACAGTTAATCAATTTTTAAAGTTATATCAATTTCTGAAACATATCATTGTGAATTATGTTTCGTTGATATGTGGTATTCATAAAAATGGAAAAAATAACCATCTGAATCTGAAACATTCTTTTCTAACCCAAGTGGCTCACTGACTTCATGAAAATATATGGGAAAATATTTTTAAATCTTATTTCCATATCATGTAATTATAATTTTTGACTGTGTAAAGCATATTATTAAAAAGTTAATATTCTGGAGAATATATAGGTCTATAATCCTTTAAAACTAGATAACAACAACAACAACAACAAACTAGATACTCAACAGAAATCATGGATATTAAAAGATAAGCAAGTTAGAGAATCTCCATTTACAAAGTTGAAAGCTTTATCATATTTAAATAACTTTTTAAAAATAAGTAAGACTGAGATAACACATGTTCTATAGCAGAATGGGAAGAAAACTGCACTGAAAGACCTAAACTCAACTCTTAGATGTGTCACCTTTTAGTTATGTATGTGTGATGATTTGGGGCAAATCACTTATCCTTCCTGAGGCTCTGGGTTATTATGGTGTACTTGAAGACACATGAGTCAATTTACAGAAACACAGCTGGTCACTGCCTCTCAGTAACTCTTAGTGAGTATCTCCTTCCTTACATTCTTAGTAAACAGAACTTGGAACCTTGTGTATAACTAGCGGCAAAAATAAAAGCAACATCTTTTTCCACAGATAAATAGTTTCTTTTTTTTCTTTTCTTTTCTTTTGGTACCAGGGACTCAAACTCAGGTCCTTGTGCTTGCGAGTCAGGCAGTCAAACCACTGAACTAAATCCCCAGTGATAAACAGTTTCTTAACCTGGGTTCTTATAAAAAAAAATGTAGTCAAAGTACATGTATGATGAAAGACTTGTACAAAAAACATCTTGAGAAGCTTCTAACAAGCAGCATTCTTTGTTTTATGCTGACATGGTTTGTGGTTATACTTCAGGCTTCCAATGAATACTGGATCAAAATTAAAATTCTAGGCAGGCATTCAACGTTTATAATTGTATCTATTCTTCATTAAACATGGGAAACAAATGCTTTACAAGTTACTTATTGAAGATATTCCCATAGTACTCTTACAAAGTTTATTTGTAAAACAAGTCCTATCCCTCATAATGTACTCAAGTAAATGAAAGCTATTCTAGGTTTCTCACATCACACTTTAGAAATTTTAGCAGGATAATAAAATTATGTTTTTTTTTTTTTTTTTTTTTTTTTGAGTTTATTGGTACATTTAGGGATACAGTACAGTTACATTCATTGTTGGGATCATGTACCTTTACATGGCAAGTCTTGATTCTCATTTTTTTCCCCTTACCTCTGCCCTCCCTTCACCCCCTCCTCCCCTCCCCATCTACAAACACTTTATTTTCATCTTTTCATTCTCTCACATTTTTTTCTTTTCCCTTTTTGTTCTTCCCCTACGTATCACACCTTCCCTACACCTTTAGCTCCTTTCCTCCCATTTCTAAATGTCTAAAATTATGTTTTTAACAGAGGCTCTTCTGAGGTCAGTCCACAAAAATTATATAAAGTTATATGATAAATAAGAGCAAAGAGACTAAACAAGTTTTCAAAAATCAGTAACATTAATCCAAGATGATTTATGACTATATTAAATACTAATTAGCAGAAAACATTTAGCTTAATTATAGTCTTCTTATTGTGAAGTTGGCACAAACACTGAGAAAATTTAAACAGAATCAGGTAACAGTTACCTCTGTGGCCTTATGTGATGGTTCCAGTCCAGTCATATTTGCTACTACTAACTGATGTAAGAGTTGAACTTGAGCCACACTTAGGAAGAAATCCAGGTTTGTGGTTATATTCACTTCCAAGGAATGGCCACACACTAAAATCTCCTGAAGAAAAAAAAAAAAAGTTTGAATATAGATAAAGAAATATAATAGCATTCAATTGATACTTTACTATTCTTACTTATTTGAGCATTAAAACTTTCTAAGTTATCTGTCTGGGACTCAAGTTCACATGTTAATGAGAAAAGCAAAAATGGTAAGCACAACCACTTGACTTAATTTAATATAGTAAGTTAATAAATATTTGTAAGTCCTTGCTATGTTCCAGTCCTTGTGTTAGATACAGAATGACTAATAAGAATTCTTATCCTTTTATATCCATTTGGCTTTTTCATATCTCACACTACTATCATTGTTTTACTATGTAACAAATGATGTAATTCTGTAGCAGAATTTTCTTCACCAATTCAAATCAACCAATATTTATTGAGCATCTTCTAAGTACCAGACACTACAGTAGAGTACTCAGAATGTAGAATAAAGCGGACCTTAAAGGGTACTCTGATCTTGAGGAAGTTATACTCTAGTGGGGCAGACAAATATAAACAAGCAATGTAGATTGTCAATTATAGTTTCAAATGCCAAATTATGAGGATTCTCAAAAGGACATTCTCCAAATGATTTATAACAATCCAGAGGGCCAAAGCCAAAGATAGCTACGCTAAATCATTTTACTTCTTAAAACTGCTAAAATTTAGGCAGGATTAGGGAAATGTCCTCTACTTAATTGGTATTGTTTTGCATTACTGAAACACTTGACCGTTTGTCATTGTAAATAGGTTAGAGAAGGAAAACAGAAAACAATCCAGAAGCTTCTCTTAATAAGCACAAGTCCTGCTTCTTCTCATGCAAGTAGACAACATTCAGATGCTTCCAAAGTTGAACAGACCTTCTCCTTATTAGTGACACCCAAAGGAATGGATTTAAGGATACTATGGCTGCCCAAGTACGAACTAGATCACTTAGAGAAGATTTAATAAAGCAAGAAAGAACAGCATTCTAACACAATTATCCATTTTTAATAAATAAATAAACCTTTTCCTCGTGAATTTCCTGTATTCACTCATTATACTTGGAATTCTTTGAACAACAATAAAAAGGGGGAAAAGTACACGGTCTCAGAAGTTTTATTTTATTGTAACATTTCCCAAAGGGATACAATTTTGTACTAAAAATATCTTAATTCAATTATTAGAATATGTCCTACTACAACTAGCAAATGATTGATCCTATAATAGTAGGTTAAATAGTGTCAAAGCTCTTGGTAGAATCAGTATCTAATATCATAAAACATTTCTATGTTTATTCCCTTTATAATTATTTTCTCTTTTGATCATTTTAAAAAAATTTTTTTTTGAGAAATGGTCTCACTCTGTAGTTGAGACTTCCTTGGAACTCACTATGTACCCAGGCTGGCCTCAAACTCAGAGAGATCCTCCTGTCTCAGCCTCCCAAGTGCTGGGATTACAGGCAAACGCCACCTCGCCTGGCTCTTTTGATCATTTTGATCAAAGAAACAATCCGGAGGACAAACTGGGAAGCCTTCCACAAGGCAGCTAAGATAGGTGTAAGGAAAGTGATGAACAAGAGGGCCTGGCATAGTGGCACATGTATGTAATCCCAGCACTCAGGGGCTGAGGGAGGAGGATCACTGAATTTGAGGCCAGCCTTGGCTATATAGTGAGTCCAAGCTCAGCCTGAACTGCATAGTGAGACCCTGTCTCAAGGAAAACAAAAAAAAGTGAATGGCTGAAGATGACATCTTCTAACATGAAGTTGGGCTTGTCCTAGGAACAGGTTACCTAATCTTTAGCTTCCTGCTAGAAACTTCTAACAACACCTGCAAGTTTAAAAACATGCTAACTAAAATGGGAATGAGAAATTAGATTCATTCATAGGAAAATGGATACATATTGAGGATATGATCCTAAGTGAAATAAATAAGTCACACGTGTAAATACAGAATAGTTTCTCTGGTGTGAAAAACTATAATAGTACGTAAGATCCTAATGCGATAACTGACAATGTGAAATAGGAATAAAGGGGCTAAAGGTGTAGGGAAAGTGGGAAGGGTAGGGGAAAGGGAATAAGGGAAAAGAAAAAAATAGGAAAAAATGAAAAAGTGGAAATAAAGTGTTTGAAAATGGGGAGGGGAGGAGGGGGTGAAGGGAGGGCAGGGACAAGGGGAAAAAATGAGAACCAAGACCTGTCATGTAAAGGTACAAGATCCCAATAATGAATGTAACTGTACTGTATACCTAAAGTGTATCAATAAACTCAATTTAAAAATAATAAATAAATGGGTTGATATTTCACAAACCGTTTGATAAAGTCTTACCTTTGTTTGAATTTTGTGCTATGTACCTAAGAATCAAAGTAAAGAGTATTTTCAGGAATAAAGCTTGTTATGATTTATATCTAGGTGTCCCTTTAACGCCTCACAGGCTCATAATTTGGGATTCTGAACCATGAAGCATGGATGCACTACAGCTAAAACAGGATGGGAGGTGGGGGCATCGTCAGAAGAAGAGGGTCAGGGGTGTGACCTGGTAGGTTGTGTATCTCCTTCTCCCTCTCTGCTTCCCAGCTGTTGTGCTGAGCAGCTCTTCCTCCACTTTGCCCCTCTGCCAGGCCATCGTGACTTGCAGCCAGCACACTATGAACTAAAAATAAGAAACTAAAGAAGACTTTCCTCTTTTAAATTCTGAGTATTGGGTATTTTGTCCCAGTGATGAGAAAGTAAGACAAAGCCTTAATGATTAAAAGTGATTCTCTTCCCTTTGTCTTTTTTTTTGTCTGATGCTGCAATCAAAATTAACGTACGTCAGGCAAGCTCTCTTCTATTAAGCTATACCCCAGACCTGACATTTCATTTTTATGAGTCAAATATAATCAGGAAAGTGGAGCAATTCTAAAATGTGACTCCACCCCGATGCGTGGGTGTGGTGGCATATGTACTAGGGAGGCTGAGGTAGGAGGAACTCACCCTGTTGAGTTCAAGGCCATCCTGGATTATATAATGAGTTCAAGGCCAGCCTGAACTACATAGTGAGAGCCTTTCTCAAAACAAAATAGAACAGAATCCAACCCACAAAAAGAAATACAAAATGTGATTACAATGTATGTCTCAATTTATATTTCAAAGCCGCATGTATAAAAAAAAATCATATAAGAAGTTAAAATGACTGTAAGATAATAAGACTTAGGCAATCTTTATAAAGTTCTTGAAGATATACATAAAACTTGCTTAACTCAATCTTCCCTACAGGCCTATAACATCAAATAAGATAAAACACACACATACACTGTTTTTAAAGTTTTAGAGAAGGAATGAAAGATTTTATTACCTAGGACTAATATGCAGTTATTCCTAACTTACAATGAGGTTATAGTCCAATAAAGCCAGTAAAGTTGAAAATACATTTAACACACCTAACCTACCAAACATCTCGCCTAGTAATTCAGGGTGCTGTAGGGTACGGTTGTTTCCTGGTGACTGTGGCCAACTGGAAGGGGTGGCTCACTGATACTGTCCAATGTCATGAGTGTGATATATGACTAGCCCAGGAAAGGATCAAAATTCAAAATTTAAAGTATGGGCTTTACTGAATACATATCACTTTCGCACACTGTGAAGTTGAACAATTCAAAATTGAACTGTCTTAAGTCATGGAATTAAACTATTCCTAAGTATTCAATCTATATCTTATTTTTCTGAGCTTTTCATTACAATTGCCTATAACTGTGAGGAGAAAAACATCTATAATGTGTTCAGCATAACAAATTTCTATGAAGATTTTTTCTTTACATTATGGTGGTTTGTACTATTATTACATTTTTTTTTCAAGTATGGAGGCAGAACATGATGATGATCAGAATTGAAACCTGGGCCCACCAGTTAACACTGATTGGGTTAAACTCTTCTGACTTCAGCTTCTTTATCTATAAAATATACACAGTATCTAATTCATAAGGAGTTTGTGAGAAGTAAATAAAGTAACTCACGTGGAACTCACTATATAAGGTGATCTATGTGAGAAACCCATGTTACCTGTCATTATTATTGTTATTGTCAATAGAAAGAGGCTGAAGTTAAGAGCTTAGAGAATGGAGCCACAGCATTGAGTTCACACTTTGCTCTGTAGCTTTCTATTTGTGAAAATATAGCAAACTCCCTCTATGCCTCAGTTTCCTCATCTGTAAATACAGATAGAATTACCTGGCAGGATTATTATGAAGATAATTTGTTATTATCCAGAAAGCAAAAAAATGAATAGTACTAGAATGTGCTTAGTATAACTTAGCTATGATGAAAATCTATATCATTATTGAGCTAATGTGATGCCTTGTGAACTAAAACTGTGAAAATCCCAAATATACAAAGCGTAGATACTCTTACTACTTAGGCTGAAGTGAATGTACATTATGTTCTAACCTCAGTATGCAGATTTTCTGGAGAAATAATTTTAGTGAAAATGATGGCAGGTGCTCCAGTTATTCGGACAGAGAAATCTGTCAAAATGGGGGTCAAAATTGCTCTCCTTTCTTGATTTCGCCGAATGCTGAAAGAGAAAGGAAAAATTATCAGTCATTTCAGCTTTGCAGGGATAATTTCATTAAAATCGTACAAGTCTTTGCACTACAACTATGACAAAATTATAGTTATTTAATGAGTGCCTATTTTTATTTTGTCAGTTCAAATTTCTTAACTTCAGTTCCATGAATATACAAAAGAGAGCAAAAAATATGCACTGAGAAATTCAGATGTAATTAGGCAATGAATATTGGTATCATCCCAGGACCTTTTAACAAATTAGTTCTTCTGTTTTCAGTTATTTTTGTTCTTATAAATTATTTCACACCTCTCTGGTTACCATCAGTAATCTTACTGTTTTAAAAATAATTTTTAATAGTTCAATATGTGCTATCTTTCTAAATTCATTAGTTTTATGCACATATCCTCTTAATTTCTGAACTTTAATTTAGGCTCTAGAATCCATCTGAGTTTATGGATTACTCCAGCCTGTGCAGTCTGTTAAATGGCTTTTATGTGTAAAACTAAATGCTTCTTGAAAACAACCCTGTATGAGAAGTAAAGAGCATTATTACTCCCACATTACCAATGAAGAAATGAAGTTTGGGGACTGGGCTAAGGCCACCCAATGGGAACAAAAGTTCCAAAATTGGACCTGGAGGGCAAGTTGACACCTGAAGAGCTTTTGGCTTCTTAAAATTCTTTCTTCATTTTGACCTTTGATCAGCGATTTAGCAAAATATTTTAACTTGGAATTCAAAATAATCATTTCAAAGGAAGCCTTGCATGCATAGTGAAAATGATACTGGAAAACTGAGAAATCAAAGTTTTAGCTCGTACAGATTTTAAAGTCCACTCTATATACTTAAGGTCTGTATGCATGTAATTTCTAATGTCTATATTAGTACATTAGAATTAGTGTAAGTTATCTCATGAAGCCTTGATAAAATTCAAGCTTTTCTACAGCCTCTCATGAAGGCTTGATAAAATTCAAGTCTTTCTACAGCTTCTCCCATTTTTTTTTTTTTTAAATCAAAGAAGTCTAGAGAGTACTAATGTCTTCTGTTAAATCTGCAATGGGCAGAGCTTTGCATAATGTTTGCCAAAAAAGTAAATCAGATCATCTGGTTCTGTGACACATAAGTATTAGATTTCAAGAAAGTCAATTTAAAAGAATTAAGAGATCTGGTGAAATGAGAGTAACAGGAAGAAGTATTAAAATCTGTGACTATAGAGGAAAGGTTTAGATCCAGAGAGACACCATAATTATAGTCTAATAGCTCAAATTCCATAAAATGATCAATGTGAGAAATATGTAACATCTGATGTGCTCCCACTGGGGAGTGCTAAAATACATGATGTATTAAAAATATCTTAAAATGGAAAAGATGGCAAAAAACCAAATAAGAACAAACATTAAAGTGCTGATGGAAGATAAAAAGTACTTGTCCATATAATACGTTTTTCTTCATTGTATGTTGAATTAGTGATACAAAATATGAAAGATCTATGACCACAGATGAAAAAAAATTAAATTAATAGTTCCATTTAAATTCTGGTATATAATGCTAATTTTTCTTTTGTTGTATCTTGGGTACACATTTGAGGTAATGATTTAAAAAAAATCATTAAAAATTTTGTAGATCAGGTGTTTTAAAGGATAAGTCAAAAGGAAGAAAGAAAAATAAACACAAGAAATAACTATAAAGTCAGACGTAGACAACTCACAACAACTGCTTTGTCTTACACTAGGGAAAATAGCAATCAGTAACTTGCATTTGTTTTTACATGCTAACTGGAATATGGGGCTATTTTGGTCAGGCTTCCTCTTCCTTCATGTGCAGTTGTAAGAAGTTGATAAAGGTGCCTTTACTATTGTGGATTGTGGCTACTATGAGTTTCAAATGATGAGCTTCAAATAGTGAATTTAAAATGGATCTTAAAGGAGTACCCTTGTCTTGCTGCTATTAAAAGTTGTATAAATGACTGGATAGACAACAGAAATTTCTCAGAGCTTTCTCTGCTCTTGGGGCCCAGGGAAGAATTTCTGACTTAGCATCTTTGGAGGTAATCTCTTTTGCAGGAAAAGTGCCCTATTTTCCTCTCTCTCTTTCAAGGAACTAGAAAGCAGTGGTTTCAATCTCTTGGTTTGCTAGCAATACTTCCTTCTCTAAGCATGATTGTTATAGCTGAAGTCAATTGTAACTTGTGCTTTGAGAGTACTTATTGGAGTAAGGATATAAGTTAACTGAGGAAGATAAGATCGCGCACTGGTGAAGGATAGATAATCCAGTCAGATTTTATTTTTCTGGGTCTCTCTCCAGATGTTAGCTACCTACCTTGGAGTGGAATAAACCTTGGGGGATACATTAGGGGGCAGAGGAATCAAGCAAGGACTTATGGGAGGCCATAATTGTTTGTTTTATTTCAGATTAGGAACTCCACATCTGAACCTTACACTCCTTTGGAATATATTAAAGAGCAATTTAGTATTTCTCTACACCCTCGCATGGTGTGCCTACCTCATAAAGCCAAGTACACAGAGGAAAGTGCTATGATGCTATCTCACAATTAGAGTTATACTGTAAAAGAGAGAAACTGGTCAAAATCATCTTTATGTTGAGATTTCCTTTACATTAAGAAGTAATTCTTGCTTATGTTCAAGTGCAGATGTAATGAGAGACACTTCATGCTTAAGGCAGTCAGCATCTCTAAGCCTGAGATTATTCCTCACCTGTAGAACCTAAAAACAAAGTTTCAAAGACAACTTTAAACCCTGACTATATGGTACTGAGGATGGAGTATCTAGGCCAGCCATAATTAAATCCTCCATGAGGCTGTGTCCACCCTTAGCTAAGTTGTTGAGGTCCCTCAAAGACAATATCCCTTGCAGGAAGTAAATGGCAAATATGGGACTACCTGTGTTCATGTGTCTTTTTCGCAGTGATCTAAGACAGAATAAATGAGACCTAATAGTTTTTGGATTACCCTGGTATGTATGCAGAGGTATTTAGAGGACTTAGTCAGAACTATAGACTAGATTAGAAAGGCGTGATATTGCTTTTAAACCAAATATTGGTTTTTAATGACAGGTAAGTAGTATTACATTTAGGGACAAATATTATCTTAATTTTGGAAGCTCAAAAGATGGGTAGCCAGGAAAATAACTGGTTTCTACTAGATCACAAGCAGTTCCTATACAAGACCCCTATTGGTCTGCCAATCAGATAGGCAATTAAAATAGAAGACATTTTCAGGCATGTGTTCTTAAAGGTCTAAGAAACATGAGAACTAAGCCCTTCAGTTATTTTATTTTATTTTCATTGAGTTTATTGGTAAATTGTCAACTATTTGTCAGAAAGAGATGAGGACATCCCTAAATCCTGATTTGATAAAAGGACATACTATAGTTTTTCACAAGTCACATTGCAATATGTAGATGGTACAGTGTTATGTGCCCCCTCAGAAGAGCTTTCTAGCCAAGACACCTGTGTTCTATTGAATTTTCTAACAGAGAGAAGTTACAATGTTTCTAGGTCTAAGGCAGAGCTTTGCAGCTTTGAGGTAAAATATTTAGGCCTTATTATATGTAAGGGAACCCAAAGACTGGAGGAAGAAAGTATTAAACCAATTCTTTCCTTTCCACAGCCCAAGAAGCTAAAACCACTAAGGAGATTTTTTCCACAGCCCAAGAAGCTAAAACCACTAAGGAGATTTTTAGAAATTATAGGCTTTTGTCACCTTTAGATATGGTGAGATTGTGTGACCCGCCTATCAGCCTATAGAAAAACTCAAAAGACAGCCATATTTTAACCTGGGAACCTGGTTCCCAGACCGTATTCTAGAAGCTCAAATAAGCACTTCTAAGTGCCCGCCTACAGGACACCATTTCAGTTTGTATGCTAATAAAAGGTAAGACATGGCTTTGGGAGTGTTTCTACAAAATCGGAGAACTGCTCAACAGCCTATATGGTATTTTACTCATAAATTATATATTACAGATTCAAAATAATTTATTTAAAAAGAAAAGCCCTAAACAATATAGTCAGAACACTTTCATTCTCTTTCAAGAGGCAAAAGCAGCCATTCAGGTTCATTGATTATTGGTTTAATTTTCTGCTTAGCGAAACCTTTGTTTCTAGATACATTTTGCTAAGAATTGCAGGTCCATTCCGGAAAAACTCCTGATCTTAATTGTCCTTTTACACCTGAGATGGATAAGATTTAGTTCTTAAACACACTCTTCTGTTCCTTCTCCACTGCTTCTGCCCCTGAGAAATAATGCAGTTATTAACAGTATCAAGGCACTTCTGTCCTCTGTGGCTGCTGGATTTCAAGACAAAGCTTCAAGAATGGTAAGTTTCCCTTTCCTAGAACCCTTCCAGAGTACAGCTGACTTTCACTTATTTCTGGGTCATATAGGAAACTGGTCTAGCCTTAATACTGAAACTCCTGAAGCATGTGTAGCTGGGTATTCCAGTCAGATAAACTGTCGGCTCATGGCCAATTATAAAACTGTTTTTGCTTTCACAGGTGAAGCATATTTTTATTCCTTTTGATTTTTATTACAAGAGATCTCTGTTAATTGATCCACAAAGTTCTGAATAGTCTTTGTATAATTATAAACCTAAAAATTGTGAAAGTTGTTATAATTCAACTTGACCAAAAATACATCTGAGTGCAATCTGGGTTATAAATAAGTTGTCTTGTGTGTGTGTGTGTGTGTGTGTGTGTGTGTGTGTGTGTCTATCTCTTCAATTTGTTACAATATCTGCAGCTGTTTTGTATGAAGTTTTTTTCTTTTGTCATTTTGGATTTTGAAAGATATTTGCTGGTAACTAAGGTTGGCTTACAGATAAATGCCAATAAAGACATGCTTCCCCAGATTGCCAGATGATACAAATAATGTCAACTGGTTTTACAAATACAGTACATATTATTATATAATAACTCAGGAATCTTTCATTGGTAAAAAAATGATGTGTTAATTGTTATGATCTGGTTTTCATAGGTAATCTAAAAATTTGT